TAAAACGAAATGGCTCTTTGAAGAACAGTGGCTGATAGTAGATTTTCGCATGTCGATTTAACGGCTCTATCGAAAATTTGATAAAGAGAAAGAGCACTTTTCCACAAGGTCTTGGAAAAGCGAAAATAAAAATCTATAAGCAACACAGCCAGTCCCCACAGGGATTTGAAAGTTCGACCAGCATCCTACGGAATTATATACAGGAAAGAGACTTGGCTGTGAAGAGAATCTATTGCTTATCAGCGCGCTACAACAAGTGTCTAGGTACAAAGTCTACACTCAACAGGTTTTTGTCACTAGGTAGTATAGGTGGAATTAAAATTAGCCATATAGACTTCTTAATATAGTGTTCAATGCCTCTGACGTCGGTGACGATACAAAAATGGCATGATTGCTAAGCGGAGCAGAACTGAGTAAAATGATCTCGGTGGTTTTCTAGAGAATAATATCTTGAACACCAAGATATGTCAGATCAGGATGTTACTGCAAGCGGCTATTTTCCTGGAAATTAGAATGGAAGACACAAGCGTGAACTTTCCTTGCATCTTTAATTTTTTTCCTCTGGTCTGACAATCATGGACTCTTCTCAGCCCAAAGGCGTGTCCGCCAGTTTCTCTTTTGTTAAATTTTCACTGACAAATCGGATAATCTTCGTTAAAATTTTCAGTGGTATAACTCTGAAGTGCAAACGTTTAACGAATAAGTTATTAAGCTGTGACGTCTCATAACCTGTTAACATATCGCAATTGACGGAACAAGTCACTGTTAATTGTTTCTAGTAATGTCGTTTTATTTTCCCAAACGCTTGAGGTCGCTGCGTTCGTTGGTGTCTTTTTTATTTGTTGGCCTTCTCTACATTGTCTACTCTGTCTTTTTTCCGTACCATGGAAACGAAGAAAGGGTTTATTTTGGACACAATTTGACAAGAAACGCCTTATATTTCCAAGCTAACACAGGCCAACACCTTTCACTCTTGGCTAACCATTTCAAGCAATTGGTGGAACAATATGAAAATGAACGCACAAACATGGAAAAAAGTCTGGATCGTGAAGCGAAGATTACTCTGCTTAACAACCAAACCAAACTGGCATCTGGCGGATCAGGAGAAGTTTTCAAGCAGAGTGTTGTTTGCGGTAGTAGTGATATTTTCCTTCTCATTCAAGTCCACTCCAGTCCAAATAACTTTATGAAGCGACATGCCATTAGGCTCTCATGGGGAAATTTGGAACACTTTATCGGCCATCGACAAGGAGTGATTGTTCGAAGGTTAGGTTACGACCCGGGGGCGGGGGGGGACTCCGCATATGAAAGGGGTGGGGATGCTCGTCGTCTCGCTTAGGGGTGTAAATTTCGGATTTTGGTCTCACTTAGGGTGTTCTGGGCAAAACACCATCATATTTAGCCGTGAAGGTCTCGTTTAGGGTTGCACGTGAAAAAATATAAAAATATATATATTGCCTGTGTTTTAACATGGTCTCTTTTAGGGGTCAAAAAAAGCTTGGGCCACGCCCAGATAGGTCTCCTATAGGGGTTTAATTCAAAATTCCCGACGAGCATTCCCACCCCTTTCATATGCGGAGTGCCCCCGGGGGTTACGATTATTATCTCAGTGATTATAAACAGTATAAATTGCTTGAGAGCAGAAGAAATAAGCCTCTTATTTAAGCCCTTTCAATTATTGGTTAATCATCTTTAGTAGAAATGAAAATTCAAATAATTCTTTCACTTTAATGCAGTGATCATCCTGAAGCTTGTGCAGAACTTGCCTCCATTTTCTCAATTTAGATTTTTTTCGCATTTCTGATCTAGACCTTCGTTAATTTATCGGCGGAAATATTGGCGCCATTATGCGTGGAACATCTAATAATTAATGGTGTCAACCTTATTCCCAGGGCCCTCTCTCTTCCTCGCTTGAGAAAAACAGGGGAAACTGGAAGCTATGTTACATGTAACGACGAAGTCCGAAAGATCTTTTCACAAGGATCTATAAAACTAAAACTTAAAATTAATATATTTGTAACCAATGAAACAAAGGGAATGAGGCCTATTCATTCTCTTTTGATGAAGGAGACTAAACCTCTCGTAATCATTGTTCTCTTTTTACAATAATTATTCCACAATGTCCTCGTTTTACTTCATAAGAAATTATATCTTTACTAGCATTTGCAGGAGACTTAGGTGTATTAGCCGGGGGCTTGCAGCTTACCGTATTATGTATATACAACATGCAATTCTTTCATATATTTTCAACAGGGTTTGGAAAACTGTATTTATCGTTGGCAAGAGTTTGGATCCAACGACAGATCGTCTTGTAGTTCAGGAAGCTGCCATTTACAAGGACATCGTTATAGGAACGTTCGAGGACACATTTCGAAACTTATACAAAAAGATGATCTGGGGTCTTACTTGGCCAATGGAAGAAAACTGCAGTGCTTCATACATCCTTAAAACAGATGAAGATTGTTTTGTTAATATTGGAAATATCCTTAATTGGCTTGACAGATATCACATAATTACAAATGGAACACAACCGATATACGCCGGTCGACGGCAGGATAATATGCCAGTCGTTCGGGACAAGGAAAATCGCTACTATCTGTCTGAAGAGGAATTCCCTGAAGAAGAATTTTACCCGTACGCTTCAGGAGGTGGTTACGTTTTCAGTGGAACATTATTGCCTCTTCTTTCCAATGTTTCAAAAACCGCGCCGTTATTCCCAAACGAGGACGCATTATTTGGTTCGCTCATGCGTAGAATCGGAGTGGAGCCAACAGATAATACCAAGATTATTCCTCTGGTGTACTGTGAACTTGCTCACAAGATTCGAGAGGAGCGTATGTGCAGTATATCAAAACAGTTTATACTGCATGGCGTGAAAGGGAAAGAACAACTTAAAATGCACTTCGATAGCGCATTATTCAGCTCTGTTTCTTCGCTCTGTTTGGGACTGCCAGACAGCGACGACGAGATGCGAGATCGTTGCGAATACGACAAATAAAAACGTCAGTACAGTTATATTGTTTGCGTTCCATTGAAATGTAATCGGTCTAGGCAAATCAGTGGCTATTCCCTACACTAAATGAATACCCCCTACGACACTGAATACGCCACTGCAGAGAAGAACAGGTTGGCGAAGTCTTTCGTGCTCTATCCGCCGGTCAAACGTCTAAGATTTTGAATTTCTTGTTGTTGTTGTTATTTTATTTCAATAAAGGGACACATGGACAAGGATCTATAAAAGATCAAGAGAAAATTATTTAATCTGGATTAGTTTAGCCAAGAAGCCGTTTAGGATTAGTTTGGCCATATAAGTTATATGCTTTTTGGTTTGACCATATTTTAATTTCTTCAGATAATGAGCTCCGTTTTGCTAAAACTGACGCGCACTCGAGTAATATTCTGTTGACAAATAACACGGCGGCAGTAATACCAATTCAATTTTTGAATACTTAGAACTTTCTTGAGTAAAGTTTAGTTACAATGACCTCAGGAACTTTTATGGGGAATTCTTTTGTTCTTTGAAATTTCCCCGGGGCAATTTTCCCTTTGGAAAATCGAGCGCTGGCTTTTAATAAATTTAAAAAAACACGTCACCTTAATGAGTTTGTACGCTTGGGCCTGCGATACAGTCAGGTGACACGTGTCAGCGGATACCATTTGTGACAGCTGTCAATTGACCATAACATGGATGTCCATAAGGCTGTCCACTATTTAGTTAAACACAGACTGCATATGCCTTGGACAGCTAGCTACAGTCTCAGTCAAAATTGTTGGGACACTTTGCCGTCTTCGTGCCCTCCCAATGTTGGTGGACAAGATTTGGTGAGTTAACTTTGATAAACAACATTGGGAGGACGAGGAGACGGGCCAGAAGTAAAAAAAAAAACGGCGTTTAGGTGGAAGTGTCCCAACTATTGTTGTCTGAGACTGTAGTATAGTAATGCACGGCGATTACACGATAACAGCCAACCAGAGCGCGCGCACTATTGTAGACATATAATCAGGGCAGCCTCAGAGCTCAGACCGATTATCCTTTATATATTGCGCATGTCACCACCACTATGTAAAATCTATCTTTAATAGACAGAAACTAGCAGGAAACGTAAGTAATTTACTTCCTAGACATCGCTTAAAAAACTAGACATTATAGCAGACATAATGTAATTTATGGCAAGGCATGGTGCCCACATGATAACTCGCTAGGTCAGGCTGTACCAGATACCGCAAATCTAGCCAATGAGGTTATAGGGCGGTGTCAGGGTAAAGTAAGTATGTCGAGGTATTTTCCCAGTAATTCTTCCTTCTCCCCCTCGTCATCAACTCGGTCAGATCTCGAGCAAAATCTTTCCCTCCTCCTCCCTTTCATCTGCCTGCGGGTTATTATTGTTCACGGTATTTCCTATTTCTTCTTTTTTCATTTTCTTACTTAGTTGTGTAGTTTGTGGCGGATTTTCCTCGCCCCATTCTTTATTCAGTAGGTTAACCGGTTTACATATATCGATGTGTTGTGATTCTGTTAGATTTGATTTCATTAAACCTGCCACAATAATAATTACTTAGTAATTTAGTTCCTAGACTTCGCTCATACATAATGTATCATCTTCTGTAACTACTGACAGTTTTCAGTTTTTGCACTTGTCATCAGCTACCTCAAAATGTAAATTCCTCAAGTCTGACCCTGGCTTGTAAATATAAAGGTTACTGATATTGCTAAAGTTGTAATGCAAATATCTACGTATTTGTCCGACTTTTCCGTTTTGTAACATGGCTCAGTGCACGTTTAGCTAAGTGTACTCAAGTATACAGCTAAATCAAAAAAGGTTACTTTGGTAATTGGTCATTGGTAATTGGACATTGAGCACTTTAGCATATTGAACAATGCAATGATTTACTTGAGTGATCACCAAACAATAACTTCCCAATGCCCAAAGCAACCTGTTTTGAATCAGCTGTTAAATAAAAACGGCGGCAGTCCATCCACGTAGCGTTGTAAGTGGGAAATGTTTCTCCATCTTTGCAAGCGCTTGAAGCCGTTCGTTTTGCTGTTGTTGTTGACGATTCTCGGTCTCTTCTTCATGATACGTTCCTTCTCAGTCTTTTTGGAGAGGGAGAACGAAGTCAAAGAATTCAACATTTATCCAAAGCTAACAAAACATAATCACGAAAATAACAACACGGACACTGCTGGTGCGGAAGTGAACAAACATTTCTCCCTTCTTCGACAAGATTTAACGAAATTACTCAACCTCTATCAGGCAGAGGCGACCAGATTTCGTAAGAAGGTTAGAATTGTCCAGAAAACGCCATTACTTAGACTGAAATCTAGAAGAAACGTTGGAAAACAAAATGTGGTTTGCAGCAAGGAACTTTTCCTACTCATTCAGGTACACTCGAGTCCAGAGAACTTCATGAATCGACTTGCCATCAGGCTATCATGGGGAAATATGAAACATTTTATTGGCCAAGGAAATTTTCCAAAAAGGTAACAAATCTTTAATTGTAACTCAGATTTTACTTAGTATGCAATTCTCTTTAGGCTGACCCTTTAAACAATAATTACCATTTATAGCTTTGTTTTAATTTCATATACACTCTTTTTTTTTATAAGAATGTTGTTCTTTCGGCCCAGGCTGAATATTCTTATTTTTCTGCCGATTTTAGGCTGAAAATATTCTTGTATTATTCTTAAATAAAGCCCAGTGCTGTTTTTGTTTTCGCTAGGTTTTGTTATTTAAAAAGGAAAGAATTTGTTCATAATATTTTTTAGCGGTTTAGTTTATGTCTTTTGTGCTGAATACTGTACATACATATTACATGTACCGTTCATCGAACTGTCATTACCGTTGAACATTTTGCTTTAGCTACCGCAGGTTTTTTCGTTTTGTTGGCTAGTTTTGCCGTTCAGAGAAAGGAAAAATTTTATATGGTTAAGTTAAAAACATAAAATTGTATTGTGTTTACAGATAGTGTACTGTAAATAAAACCCGTTGCGCAACACAATATACTTCGCACGTGAGGGTGATACTGGTACCTGACCCCAACGGTTTTTTTTTTTTCTGTACTGTTTGAAATTAAAGAGCAAATATTGACAGGTAAATTTCTTAACCTCGCGAAAAGTCAAAATTTCCGAATAACTAACCGTTCCATTCGTCTGAGATTTTTCAGAGGTTTTCTACTAACTTACCGGTTGCTAGGGGGAGAGATCTTACTTAGCCCTTGCTCAATCAAGCAGACCAATCAATCAATACCTTTATTTAAGTGGCAAACTAACATAGCAGTAGAGGAACCCGGGGTAGAGGAAAAACTAAAT